CCCATCCCCAGGCTCAGCCCCAGCCCAAGCCGCAGCCTCAGCCTCAGCCTCAGCCGCTGCACCCGTACTCACATCCTCACTCTCACTCGCACTCGCACCCGCACCCGCACCCGCACCCGCACCCGCACCCGCACCCGCACCCACACCAACCGCCGCAGTCGCAGCCGCTCGTCCAGCCGCACGGCCACCGGCTTCTCCGCAGCACCTCCAACTCTGCCTGAAGTGGGCAGCGCCCGGGCCAGACGAGGTAAGGGCCTCGCCGCGGTGCCAGGGAGGAGCGGGTCGCGCGGGGGTCGGGAGGAACAGGAGGCTGGCCCACCGGTCAGCTCCGGGGTGCACAGAGGAGAAGTCATTCTAAGTTTTGGGGGAGGCGGAAAGATGACGAGCTGGAGCCAGGTGCGGCTCGGCAGAGAGAAGCCCGCCTCGCCCTGCCTGCCCCAGTTCGGTGGGGTGCGCCTCGGCGCCCCGAAACTGTCCGCGCGGACCCGGCGACCTTCTGTCTTTCCGCTCTCTTTGTCAGCCGCCTCAGCCGGGGAGAACTGGGTCTCGGAGGATTCTGAGCCACCAACTTCATTCAGTGTCATTTCTTTCCAGGTTTTGAGGACTCGAGGAAGCGGGACGAACACAGTTCTATTGTCTTTCCTTGGATCAAAAAACAAAACAGTCTCCCCGCCCCGCGCCAGATCGAGTAGTTTGGACATCACCTGACTGATAACTTGCGATTCCTTGGTTTTCTGCATATTCATCATCACCGTGCAGGAAGCGATTCCAAGTCGAGAAGACTTTACTTATGAACCTTTGAGAGGATCTTATAATGTAGTGGACCTTCTAGGAGCGATGATGTACTGTAATTTTATTTTAATGTATTTTGGTTTATGATTATTTATTAGTTTTTTAATGCTTGTTCTAAGACATTTCTGAATGTAGGCCATTTTTCAAAAAAGAAACTTTATTTTTAAAAACCTACCCCGTAGTAAGTTCTAATCTTGGGAAAGAAAAAACGGGTGATGGAAGGGAAAACATTAAAAATTCATTCAATATTCCTAAGGCATTTTCAGAAGGTCTGACACTTTCAATGTTATGAAATGTGGTTGAAATTAAACTCTTGATACTACTTTTTTCTCTGAGGTTTCCTCCTTAAATATATTCTTTGTATAAAAGCTTTTTAAAACTAAAAGCTCAAAATTGTGTAATTATAACTATAATGCTCAATATAATACTTTTCTAAAAGAAAAGCAGTAGTAATGATACCTGCTTTCAAAATATATAAGACATAAACCCGATTGAGGGCAAGATGATCATGTCTTATATGTCGTAGGACTGGGTTTACTTAGGAGCTTCTGTCATCTGTGTGAAAGTTTAATAAGAATCCTTTTGGAGCTGGGCGTGTAGCTTGGTGTTGAGCGTGCCGGGCTCGGAGTTTAACCCCTAACACCAGGGGGAAAAAAAGAATGAAAAGGGAAAAAAAAGTCCTTTTTGATTGTGACTTACGAATATATTAGATGTTTCAGTTCAAAGTTGTAGTGGGGGGAAAGAGAAAGATGCAACTTGTTTGAGAGTATCTATGCCCCTTTCCAGACTGGAGAATCCTCCACCAAGAGATTTCCACACTTGGCTTGAACCATATTTTCTGATCTGTTTACTTTGTTCTAGAAGAACACTGAAGAATCTTAATTGTAAATACAGCAACAGACTAGGAGTCATAATTTTTAAATTCACAGAAAATAATGTTTATCTTTGAAACTGGCTGTTTTTCTCTATTCTGTGAGAAATTTTTGGGCTGTGCTTCCTGAGGTTAGCTAGACTCAGCCATTGAGAGAGGAAGGACTGGATAAACAATGGATTTTCAGTAAGCAAACAACCAAAGTCTTGTTTTAGCAGTCGCTTGTTCAGGAGTCTAAGGGGTAGTGGGGAGAGGATGTGCTTTTAAAGGTAGAACAAACCCTCTTCTGTGTTACATCAAAAGCATGTAAAAATCCTCAAGGCAGATGCTACTTAAGTTTAAAAGAGCCATAGATGATACCAAATTCTCTTGGGGCTGAAAATCACTTCCTATCTGCATGGCTTTACTAATGGTTCTCTGTTTTTCATTGTCTTTCACAGAGTATTGGTCAGTCTTTTTCCAGCATTAAAATTGGACTGGTCAAGCCAGGTGTGGCCGTGCATGCTTGTAATCCCAGCTCTCTGGGAGGCTGAGGGAGGAGGATGGCGAATTTGAATTTAGCCTGAGCAACTTAGTGAGACCCTGTCTCAAAATAAAATGTAAAAAGGACTGGAAATGTAGCTCAGCGTGAAGGCCCTGGGTTCAATCCCCAGTATGGGGGATGGGGATGGGGTGAGGCGGAGAAGACTGGTCAGTGTTAGACTACTGCTGCGATGCACAGTTAATCTAGAAAAAAAAAAATTTCAATGAAATTTAAATGATGAAATGTTGAGATCATAATTTTTACACAAAAAGTTGCAGGAAAAATTAAAACAAAACTGGAGTCCCACTTCCAGGGGTCGCTTAGGCTGCAGTTGTAAAAACATGCTGCCACAGTGTGAAAATATAATATGTACATATGACAGCTCAGAGAGCCAAATGGAAAGATTTCTTAAATCCAGTTTGATTTGGCTTCCTGAGAACTACTGCTGTATTTTTTAAGGAATGCCTCATAGTATTATAGTTTTAATACATGCAGATCATAATAAGCCAAATTAATCCACAGCTCTTTCTAATTAGTGACTCTTTCTTCTGAACTCTTGTTAAAAAAATAAAATCCATATGAAATACTTTCAAAATTAAGAGTAATGTAGCTTTGTAAAGATGTATTTGTATGTTGTTATCTTATGTATAGCACAAACTAATCTCATTGTTGAAAAAAAATATGGTTCATCTCTTGACTGCTTGAAGTTGGTTTTTTTTCGATAGTCATTGCTCTCAATGGGTTGCCAGAATCAGTTTTTTGTTCCTTGTTCTGCTTCATACTTACATTGAATTCACCCTCTTTATGGCTCTGTGGTTTGAGCCTGTCTTAACACTTACCTGTGAAATTTTAGAAATTAGAAAAAGTAGGATGACTTTTTTTATTGTTTCAGTAACTCTAAAAGTATTATGTTTTTTTTTGTTTTTTTTTTTTTTTTTTGGTTTTTCTCCGGTACCGGGAACCGAACTCACGACCTTGCGCTTGCAAGGCAGGCGCTTTGCCGCTGAGCTAAATCCCCAGCCCCTCTAAAAGTATTATGGTTTAATACTTTTTTCCAGAGCAGAAAACCAAGCATGCTCAACAAAACGAAACAAAATACAAATGCACATCATTTAATATCTCATTGCTCTTTTCTTCCCTGTCAGAAAATGATACAAACCCTGAGGTGCTATGGGCCCTGACAAGTCAGCTTTATAGAAAAGGATAAAAATATTTTCAACCCAAGAAGAAGAGTAAAAGTGCAGGTGCAATAAACAACCTACCCCTGAAACAAACATCAAATGTAAAAGTTGAAAAATTAAAGAAGTGTCCCATCTGGAAACTGAACTTTTGTTCTTGAACTTGCATTGGCATCCAGCTTCCCACACAGTTGTCTCAGTGACTATTTGTTGTGAGAAATGACCAAAAGGAGGAAAAAATGTGTGTTTTTCAGCAGCCTGCGGGTCGTTTCTGTTGCCTCATTGAGCGCTTCCTTTATTTGTTCTTTTTTTTTGGTTTTTCTCTGGTACCAGGAACCGAACTCACGACCTTGCCCTTGCCAGGCAAGCGCTTTTGCCGCTGAGCTAAATCCCCAGCCCCCCTTTATTTGTTCTCATGTGCCTAAGAACAGTGAGTCCTGGACAGGCTCAGTGTCACGAAGCTCTTTAAATGTACTTTTTTAGTAGAAATCCACTTGGACGTGCTTAGGCCCTGCTGGGAATGTCCAGGTCACAGAGTAAATGTCTAGAAGGAGCCTTTTCAAAACAAATGTTTTCCTCATTGAGCAAGCTGCAATTCTCCATTCATGTATGGACCAAGCCAAATTTATTATTTCACTTCACATAGTTTTCTCCAATGATAGTTTTAAAAAACAAAAAACGCACCCTATGCGTTGCTTAAAGGAGGTGCCCTTACACTTGAACACTGCAGGAAATCTGGTTTCAATTGAAAGGCCTGTTTTAACTCTTCTTCTGCTCTCATGTACCAAGCACTCTGTACTTCTCTTTACAAACCCTATTTAAAATCTGATAGTGAATGAGTTTAGCAGTATATGTTTTCAAACACGTCACTTGCTTTCTATCCCTGGGATAGTGATGTGATTTAGTTAGAGTGCGGGTGTTAACATGTCCAGTAGCAGTGTAGAAGGACCTAAGACCTCAATAACCATGAAGAGATTCCACAAAACAGAGCTCTGTGGGATAGGATAGGCCTGTGAGCGTTAGCTTTTTTGTTTATTTGTTTGTTTGTTTGTTTTTTTTTCATAAGTGAGAAACTTGTTGGCTTTTGCTTTACCAAAAAATCCCCTCAGTGGATATGTTTTCAGTTTGGACATTATAGATACTGAATTCATTGTGAGTCTTTCAAGAGAAATATACCTATTTACTTAAGACCTCTTAATTGTAGAAATGTGTTGGCTAAGTTTTTAGGGACTATTTTCTGAATTCTTGACATGATTTTGAAGAGTGACTTTTTCCCCTGGTACCGGGAATCGAACTCACAACCTCCTGTTTGCTAGGCAGGCACTGTGCTGCTGAGCTAAATCCCCAGCCCCTAACGAGTGACTTTTTGATCTGCAGTATTGAGTAGCCAGTCCAGATTTATAAAACATTGGCTCACGAAGTGATCTGTCAGAGTACAGAATGACCTTCTTAGAAAAGTCATTCTCATAGTTGGGGGATAGCTCAGCAGTACAACACTTGGCTAGCGTGTGCCTGGTGGTGGGTTTGATCCCCAGAACAGAAGGAAAAAGGTATTCTTGCCCAGTGAAAAAAGATTTCCTGAGCATGAGAAGTGTCTGCTTAAAAGCTGTCCAGGCCCACTAGCCAGTGCTCTGAAACTGGCGATTGACCAGACAAGGGAAGCAAGTTTTTAAAGAAAGAGAAAATGATTCTGTTACATTCCATGGTCAGCCTTCTACTTCGTTTCAGAATATGCGAACACCAGCTTCTGGAGAGCGAGAGCCGCTATGTACCCAACGCTTTACCAGCCGTTATGTTTGTGAACTTCATAGTGTGGTCAGAATTTGTGTAAATATGTCTCAAGCAATTTTGCAAGGATGTGATTTATTTTTCATACTTTCAAAATGCATTCCATTTCACATAAAGTATTCAGACAACTGACCTTTGGATCCTTTGAAGCCCTCATTCATTCACGGGACACACAATACTGTATTCCCCAGGGGTCCAGGTTCTAGCAGGTTTGACTGTTACAAGGACAGTGGCCAGTCTGGGAAGAAAAAGACCATATTTTAAGGTTAGAAATTAATTGGGAATTTTGAAGATAGAAATTCACTCATCTTTTAGTGAAATAATTAGTTTTCAGAATACTAATGTGCTTGAGTTGAATTTTCCGTGGGGCCCATAGAGGAGGAGCTCCGGTCCTTAGTGGTGAGTTTGAAGGCAATTTTCTCTTGAGTTCTACATCTCAGGAGCGGAATGCTTTGACACTAAGAGAATCATTCTTCAAACAGGCATCTATTAAGCTCTGTTTTATGCTGAACACAAAAGATGGGCTTGATTCTCCGAAGAGAAATAGAATCACTTCATTCTTACAAACTATTGGCATCTAAGTGACAACTTTAAAATAAGAACTTCCAAGGCATTTTAAAAAATCTTTTAGCATGGTTTTACCTTGGCAACTTTATTATTTTTCTACTGTCTTGCTTTTTTTTTTTAAAGGAATTAAAATCAGAGGTTAAGGGGATGTCAGGGTTACTGTCTGAAATAAGTGTGTATGGGCAGAGGTCAAACTGGGCTTGGAAGAGCCAGGATTTAAGAGTCCTAGTACCTGGGTCTGAGTCCAAGTTCCACCACTCATTGCTATGTAAATCTTGAATTATATAGCCTCTTGGGAATTTGCCTTCTTTCTGTATAAAATGGAATTAATAAAAGTACTTACCTCCGAGTTACGGAGGCAATTGAATAAATTCTTTCAGTTAAGAGTGCCTGAAACAGTGCCTGGCATTGCTGCAAAAGGAAGCTCCTTGTACTTTACGGCAAGCAGTTTTGAGGCTCATTATAGTAATACGAATACATAATACATTGTATTTTGAAGCTATGAATTGAATTTTCTGAAGCTTCAGCACTTGGTTTTAAGTGGCTGGAGTACTGTGCTTAGTATGATGACATCCTTGTATTTAATTTTTTTAAAAAGAGGCAAAATAGCATTACCATTTTAATGACTATTATAACTTGTTACTTTCCACTCCATATCTATGTATTCATATATTTTAAATTATTCACAGTTAAACCATCAAAATGTTCTCATGTAGCTGTGG